CGCACTCCAGCCCGGCGGGCACCTCGGGGGCGGGCGCGGGGCGCAGCCTTCTTGTCCTGGCCGCTCTGACAAGCGCCCCAGGGCCGGCAGTCCGGCTGCCCGGCGCGGGGTGGGCGCGTTCGCAGCCTCTGGGCTCGTGCGGAGCCCCGGACGTCACGATGAACATCGTGGTGGAGTTTTTCGTGGTCACTTTCAAAGTGCTCTGGGCGTTCGTGCTGGCCGCGGCGCGCTGGCTAGTGCGGCCCAAGGAGAAGAGCGTGGCGGGCCAGGTGTGCCTCATCACCGGCGCGGGCAGCGGCCTGGGCCGCCTCTTCGCGCTGGAGTTCGCCCGGCGCCGGGCGCTGCTGGTGCTCTGGGACATCAACACGCAGAGCAACGAGGAGACGGCGGGCATGGTGCGCCACATCTACCGCGACCTGGAGGCTGCCGACGCTGCAGCGCTGCAAGGTAACTCGGACCCGCGCCCAAGCATTGTTGGGTCAGACCTTCTCCCTGACCCCCGCGCCCAACACTCGGGGAGGGGGGGGACGAAAGTCCACTGTCACGGTCAGCCTCGCTCTGGACGAAAAGAACACCCCATCGGTCTTCTGGAAGACGAGTGGAATTTGTCCACTAGTAGAGGAACATGATCACCTTTGTGCCAAACCTATATCTGACCGAGGCCGTGTCTCTTTGGAACGACTGAGGGGTTTCCAAAGCCCGCTGAGGATAGGGAGGGTAGAGGAAACTTGTTACCACAGGGTTGGATCTTAAAATTTCTCACTCGCGTTTGCGATGGGAAATTAAAGTGTCTGGGAAGTCGTTCTGAGACTGTACTGAAGCATGTATCTCTGTTTCTGTGGTCTGAACCGCTTAGAGTAGCGCAGGATTGATGATTTCACTATAACTTTAGCCACAGGGAAATAATTACCTTGTTTTACTAGAGGTAACTAAGTGCTTTAGTTGCGTACACGGAACGTGATTGAAAAGATACCCTGCCTCTTAAAGGAAGCACTTGAAGCCTTTAAGCCTCTTTGTAAATCTCTCCCATGTTTTTGGTAACCACAGGAAATCTGCATTTCTGTATACCGTATAACCTGAATCTGAGACTTTTTTTTTTTTTTTTAAAGCCAAAGCAGATACCACAACCAACCATACATACTGGTCCAGGAAACTTGATAATGACTCTCCCCTTTTGACAGAATTTTTCGTTTCCAGGGAAAGCATTGAACTATGCTGAGAATTTAGACACCACTCTTTCCCCATATCGATCATTTGTCATCACAATTATTGGCAGCTGCATTTTAGGTCAGAAAGCCCAAGGTTGAAACAATTCCATTTTCAATGGTAGTAATGGAGGGGTAGAACATGCAATGCAGATTTTTGTGCTCCCTGCCAAAACCTAAAAGATAAGGACATTTGTTCTTCCGTGAAAAGATTTTGGTTTTTAAATTGTGTGAGTTCTTACGAGGTGAAATTGCATATTTACTTGTCAGCTTGATTTGTGGAAGGGCAATCGTGGAGTCAGCAACCCAAGTGGGGGCAAACTGGTGACCTCCACCTTTTCAGGAGAAACTTTAAATTTATTTCTTGGCTTTAGATGAATTCAGATCACTAATTACTGTTTTGATTTTTGAGCCTAGAGGTGAGCTTCCATTTTGGGGGTGCTCAGACTCAGCAGTAAGAGCTGCTTTGGCCACTGTTCCCCCCAAAAGGAGTGTGTACTGTGTGGGTTTGGGAAGGGGTTCTGCTCTCTGGGCTGAGAACAGTGCTTTCCAGGTGTCTGTAGCTCCAGGAAGCTGATCCCATGTGGTCTGACTTATAGCGGGCTTGTCGCAATTACACGACCTTCCCCTAAGCAGAGTTATCCGGTAAATTGCCATAATTCCCAAAGACTTTTCGGAGAGGAAGACAGCTGTAAGTTCAGTCATTGGCAAGGCTTCTGGTGTTAGTAATTTGAAGCTCACTGTAGTATTTTTGTTTTGTGTGATCTTTGTCCTCTGATTGCCATGTGACTCACTTTCTGCACCCCCTTCTCTGTTCACCTCTCCCCTCATCTGGACTTCTGAGGACAGCTGGGAATGGTGAGGAAGAGATTCTGCCCCACTGTAACTTGCAGGTTTTTACCTACACCTGTGATGTGGGGAAGAGGGAGAATGTCTACCTGACAGCCGAAAGGGTCCGCAAGGAGGTTGGCGAGGTCTCCGTCCTGGTCAATAATGCCGGCGTGGTCTCTGGGCATCACCTCCTGGAATGTCCTGATGAGCTCATTGAGAGAACCATGATGGTCAACTGCCACGCCCACTTCTGGGTAAATATAAACATCCTTGTTTTCATTGCTGTTCCCTCCTCAGTGAGCAGGTTGACAAGGAGAGAGACTTCCATACAGCCTGGAAGCCACCTGTGCTCTTTCACCACAGAGCTTCCTTCTGATTAGCTCCTCCTCCATGGTGAATTACAGTGCTTGCCAGACCTGCTGCCATCAAGTCCATTCCGACTCACAGCAACCCTATAGGACAGAGGAGAATCGCCCATGGCGCTTCCAAGGCTGTGATCTTTGTAGGAGCAGACTGCCACATCTTTCTCATGTGGAGCCACTGGTGGGTTTGAACCACTGAGCACTTAACCACTGGGCCACCAGGACTCCTTAATGTCTGCTGATGACTATGAAATAGCTGTTTTCTTTCTCTCCCCTGCCGCCTCAATTCAGTATTTTTTGAGAGGGCAGAGGGCTGAACGTTTTGAGCTATTTGAAAGCCTGCCATAAAAATAACAAGAGGGAGCATAAAATCCTGGGTTTGTTTATTTTACTTTCTATAGAGTTTGTAAAACATTGGTTGTTCTTATGAATTCCTAAAGTCAGAGTTTAGGCTTCCAAATTACTGTTCAGCCACATTTTAGGAAGTGCCAGAGATTCTGACATCAGCATTTGTGGTCCATTGGGAGTGGTCTGGCCACCCTGGCAGTCACTTAACTGAGCCTCCCCAGGGTCCATGGTGACGTCCTCTTTGAGGACTTCTCAGGACTTTGCAGCTGAGAAGGTGCCTCTTCCATGAAAGTTACTGGGAGGGTGGCTGCATGAGACCTGCTGAGCTTGGGAGGTCAACCACCTCAGCATCTGACCATAACTACTGTAGCATCTAGGGGTCAAGGTGGGCGCATGAGACCTGCTGAGCTGGGGGGTTCAGCCACCTCAGCATCTCACCATAACTGTTGCAGCATTGAGGGATCAAGGTGGGTACATGAGACCTGCTGAGATGGGGGTTCAGCCACCTCAGCATCTGACCATAACTACTGCAGCATTGAGGGATCAGGGTGGGTACATGAGACCTGCTGAGTTGGGGGTTCAGCCACCTCAGCATCTGACCATAACTACTGCAGCATTGAGGGATAGGGTGGGTACATGAGACCTGCTGAGATGGGGGTTCAGCCACCTCAGCATCTGACCATGACTACTGCAGCATCGAGGGATCAGGATGGGTGCGTGGAACTTGCTGAGCGGGGGGGTTAGACCACCTCAGCATCTGACCATGACCACTGCAGCACTGAGGGATCGGGGGTAGGGCCTTCTGCTCTTGAGGGCAAAACTAGCTCCTGGTTTTTCAGATGAGCTTATCTTCAATGAGGGTAGGGATGAAGATCTCCCCTTTAACACTGTACACTGTTGACCCGCTTTATGCTTTTCTTCTCGTCGTATTTCACCTTTACTTTTGTAGGCAGATAGGATCCAGTGAAGAAAAGGTAAGGAGATATGGTTTTATTTATTTATTTTTTCCATGGGCCGATTAGCCTTCTAATAGAACACAACAAAGAACTGTTTCTCCTAAATAGGTCACATTAAACCACATTAATTCTTCAGCAACTGCTTAAAAACTTAATTTGGCTTTAGAAGTACTTACTCAGACGTTGCTCATTGAACGTCAAACCTTTTCACCGATCCTGGAAAATTATTTAATGGTGTTTTGTTTTGTTTTTAAACATGAGCTTTTTTTCATTTCCAAACCTCTAAAGATCGACATATAAATAATCTGAGCTAACTCATATCTATGTTTTAAACAAGTAAGGAGATTATTACCAGATACAGTTGGGGACTGTAAGTGTGCTTATGGGTGTGCACACCATGAATGTAGGCATGTGTTCGTCGTGTGCAGTGAGGGTAGGGAACTGAATTACAGTTCTGTTGCTGCCGCCAGGTCCACGAGAACAGGCAGCAAATGATAAAGAGAGTGAGAGGTGAGTAGGTGGGTAAGAGCCAGCACAACTGAATGAACCAGGCAGTACAGTTTATCAACAATCTTGTGTGTTTGTAGTTCTAAGTAAAACAAACAACCACCATTTGAAATACAAGATGTACGGAAGTTGCAAGTGGAATGTGGTTTTCCTCTTTGAGGAATGGTAAGGATGAAGCTGCCGTGGAAACTCCAGTTGATTTCAGTCAGCTAGACAATCTCCAGCGTAACACACAACCGTCGGTGGATTAGCTGTGAACCACAGACACTGAGATTGTTTGTCCCTATGACCTCTGACTGAGGTGATGCAAGCTGTCCTAACCAGGAACTTGTACCTACACAAAATACTCTGAAATTTAGCTGTCATGATTACTTTTTCTGCGTGATTATTTTGCTGAACTTTAAAATTTCAAATGTAACTGGATTGTTAAGGAAAACCCGTATGATCTGCAATTAAACACTTCTAGGAAAGCAGTTTGTCTTCCCTAGACATCCTGTTAATTCAGAATGAGTAAGGAACAGAAAATTCATAGCCTTAGCTTTGGGAATGCCCATTATTTGGCATTCTATACTTAAAATGTTAGGCTGTTTTCTAATGGAAGGAGGAAATTGAGTCAAATCTCTAATAGAAAAATTATTCTGGAACTCAATCTGTGTACCAAGGAGGAACATACCACCTTCCTAGAGTTCTCACTGGGCTTCAAGATGTTACTTAACTACACAGTTTAGGGAGTTCTTGGAAGCCTTGTCAGTTATGACGTCACTTCATATTAAAATATGGGAGGCTCCTGAATTCTCCAGCTGTTTTTCCCCCTAAGCATCTAAACTTAAGAATTTATTTTCAATCCTGAGTCAGAAAACTCATTTTAGAGTTGGAATTTCTGACTGCTTGCCGAGATTTACAATCCTTTTGAGAGGTTGAGATTTAACAACTAAAATTTAAAAGAAAACTATAATTTTTCGTGGGTTTTTTTTTTGTTGTTGTTATTTTAAATGATGTTGTAAGAGCCACCAGAATTCAGCTTTCCTTCCAGTGGTCCTCTTTGGTGAAAATGTTGGTGGTAACTTTTCAAGGATGTATTGGCACGTACTGTCGTCCTTCCAGAAAAATAAGAGTGTGTCTTTTGACTGTATCTGGGTGGGGAGAAAAAGTTGCGCTGCACGTTTTAAAAAGCAAATCAGCTGAACAAAGACTTGTTCAGTCCTTTGAACAGATCATCTCGAGCTGAGTAGCAGTTGATGTCTGTTTTCATAGAAAAACAAATAGTGTGTTGATCCTGACTCATAGGTAGTCATGTACAGTGAAATCGAGAATCACGTGGACTGGTCCACTCACCTTCCACTGAAGAGCTGTGTGCTCCCACTTCCAGACCATTCCTCATACTGTTCCCCCTGACCGGAATGCCCTCTTCCCCCACTCTGTATGCCTTGTAAGGCCTAGCTCAAGTTCTCAGTGTAACCTACCCTCCCCTCTCCAGCCCTTTCCTGGCATGTTGGCAGGAAATTTTAAGGAGAGAGACCGTCTTGTCCAACCCCTTGTTTTCTGATGAAGCTTCGGTAAAATGAGTTGTCTAAGGCTTTTCCTTTCTTTTCATTAATCTCTTGCAGCATTTATTGTCATTCCCATCCTGTGGTGCATGGCACGTGCTCTTTGGTGTAACTTTTCATACATTCATATACATTTATTCGTTAGTACGTTGTTGTCTATTTGGGATGCATGTACCCTACATCCCAAAGCAGACAGCAAGCTGTGTGAAGGCAGCTTGTTAAATGCATCTGTTTTCTCCTGCTTGAAGAGAACTCTACTCATAAGTCACTCAATAAATGTTTGATAAAACAGGCTTCTGCTTAAATATTTAGAAGATAACCTATTCAGAGAGTGCTCATGTGGGTTTGTGTTCTGAAGTGTCAAGAGGTAAGCATTATGTTGGACTACCCCAAGCTGTGTCAGATTGATGATATTTCAGAATGGGGCTTGGCTCACGTTCACTGTTTGCAGCTCCCTTGGTTTTACTACAGAACTTTCCCCCTTCCTGCCCTGCCCGTGCGCACGTTTTTACTGTAGTGTGTCAGCTGTGCTTATTGGTGTAAGGTCAGTGACTTTTAAGAAGTCTCCTGTTGATATAACCATTTGAATCAAACTCAGATTGAATGTATGACAACCATTCACGTTGCCCAAGTACCAGGCTTCAAGGAGAGAATCCCTACAGCGTTTCCTTCCGTGCTTCTTAGCCACATGCTGTTTCCGGGAGCCCGTAGACGTTTTCACAGTGCATGGCGCTATCCTGCACAGTGCCCCCGCCGCCTGTGGTTCTTTATCGTCCGGTGCTCTGCCCTTACCGGCTGCTCTGCCAGGAACCTTCTCTTGGTCGGCAGTCAAGTGATAGATGGGAGCAGGCTGAAGTCAGCGTAATCTGCCGTGAAACACTCAGGGTCGTGACAAGACCATGGAGAGTGCATACAATATAAAAACAAAAAAAAACAGTTGCCGTCAAGTCAACCCTGACTCATGGCAACCCCATGTGTGTCAGAGTAGAACTGTGCTCCATAGGGTTTCCAATGGCTGGTTTTTTGGACATAGATCGACAGGCCTTTCTTCTAATGTGCCTCTGGGTGGACTTGAACCACCAACCTTTCGAACAGTTAGCAGCCAAGCATGTTAACCATTTGTGCCACCCAGGGACTCCATATGCAGTTTAATTCTGGAATAATCATAGAAATCATTCACTCATGCTCTCTCTGTGTCTCAATGAGATGCAAAAATTTGAAAATACCTCCATTCCCTTTGATATATGGAAGGTTGCCCTCTGTACAGAAACTGCAAACATGTATTTCCCCAAAAAATATTAACACTGCTTCACTTGTTATTTTTTAAGAGAGTGAGTAGAATCTTCTCTTGCCATTTCTAGCAGCCGAAATTTATCTGTGGGTCCTTTTTTGTCTGAAGAGCTACATGGGCCTTTGTATGTGAGCCGCAGATTGATCCCTGATTAACCAAAAGGGGGAAGCAAAAGCATTTCACTCCAGGACTTTTATGTTCTAGAAGAAATTTTGCATGGTAAAGGACTAAATCTGTCAAATA